ACAGCTGAACAGATGGGCACCAAACTCCAAATGACCTCAGGGAATCACCCTGAGTCAAATGGCCAGGCAGAACAGATGAACCGGGTAGTACAGTACCTGCTTCGGCATTACATTAAGCCAAGTCAGGATGACTGGGACGAGAAGTTACCGCTCGTCGCCAGCTTGTACAGCAATGTTGTGCACAACACTACCGGTATGGCTCCCAACCAGTTACATCTTGGTTGGAAGCCCAGAACTGCCCTTGACTTTCTGCTACCAGAAAGACAATCCACTGCAGCACCTGGCAGCATAGACTTTGCTGTCCAATATGAACAGATGATGCAGCAGGCTGTTGAACATATTAAGAAGTCTCAGGATGCTATGATCGCATCCGAGAATAAGCATAGACGGCCCTCTAACTTTCAGGTCGGTGATAGAGTCTGGGTAAAGTCATCTGAACTAGGTCAGGAGATGGGGATATCTAGAAAACTGATGCTGCAATATTTTGGGCCCTGGGAGATCTTGGAAATTGTAGGGGATCAACCGGATGGGCCTTCATATGTGATCCGTATTCCTGCACACCTACGCACCTACGTAGTGTTTCATGCCTCCAAGCTGGCACCTTTCGCTGCCACTGATCAGTTCCCTTCCAGAAGATCAATGCTGCCCCCAACCATGGATGGCGGCATCGAGTGATGCCTGTTCCTCGACCATCAGGCAGAGGGCGACCTCCTAAACCGAGAATGCAGTATCGTGTGAGCTTCAGACATCATCTGGATCCTAAAGACGACCGGTGGTTCACACGAGAAGAACTCCTGAGAACAGCACCTCAAGTGATCGCAGGCTATGAAAGAGCACTCAAGGGGAAGATGCCTGCAGAATAAGAGACTTCTCAGAGGACTCACGAAGTAAAGGAGGAGGGAATGTGAGGATCAGGGTCCTCGGTAGGCCTATGGGGCCCTGTTTGCAACATTACCCGCCCTAAGTGAAGGCGGACGTGCCCGCCCTAAGTGAAGGCGGGCCTGGCTTTTTGCAAGAGGCCCTCGACTGTCAATTTCATATTTGGGAATTTTGGGGTCCAGGCAATTGTGACGCGACAGTTGGTTGAAAGAAACACAGGCCAAGCAACAAAGACATTTCCACGGCCTTCCGAGCCTTTCCAAAGAATGCAGGCCCTGGGCGTGATTCGCAGCCTCATACAAAGACAGTTGGGCGCCCAACCGAACTAGGCCCAGCAGCCTAGTAGCTGCTGCATCCAGGCAGCCTCCTGGGGCCTTCCGGAAGCTTCTGGGCCCAGGCCAACCCAGCCAGGCTGCGTGAGCAGGCCAATTCTTTCCATAAAGGAAAGAGCTCCGGCCAGGCAGCCTCATTCAGGCACTCGCATGCTGGCGGCAGCGCTGCTGGAGCAAAGGCTCGCGGCTGCTGGCTGGCGCTGAGAGGCGAGGTGCAGCACGTGCGGTCGTGCAGGGAAGAAGGGCGTTGCTGAGGGCAGCGCCATAGCCCAGCCACCCTAGCTGGTGGGCTTGGACTACAGTGAGGCGCAGGGGTGGTCTTCGGGTGAAACAGAGGACAGTCGTGGGTGTAGTCAGGGGATAGGTGAAGGATGATGATGATGACGATGATGTGAGGGCACATACCTTGTATTGGTGATGGTCTGCATGGGCGACATCTTCAAGTACTTCGGGCTGCCACTGATGTCAACAGTTGCATTGTCATTTCGTAGTCTGTAGTAGCTGTGTAGGAGTAGGCTG